ATTAGAGAAAAATCATTGTGAACAACAATATACCATAAAATCAATTAAATTCTGAATGAAGAATATTTTTGGTGCCTCATTTTCAGAGCAAATGTTAAATACCAGATTTCGTACTGTACTGTCAAATTAGTTGACGGAAATCAATTTTTTATGGAACATTTTCCTTGTTTGTCACAGGAAAATTACGAATATGTACGTCTTCGCTTCATGATTTGTAATTTGTATAGGGCAAATTTATCACATTTAATTAAAAGAAGTCATATAAATACAGTATTTTCACAAGTAACGATTTCTATTCCACGAAACACCGTGCCATTAACATAATAAAATTGATAAAACTTTCGCTAAAAAGAGACCATAATAATTAAAAGTTTCACAAAAACACGACTACTTCATAATAATGCCGTTTCCCAACATTTCTAAGGGAAAGATATTACTTTGTCAATTTTCGGTGTGTCTATTAGTAACTTTTAATGTTTCTTCCTTTTAGACAGCTACCTACCTTTATTCCGGCTCGACGAAGTTCTTATCAATTTTATATTCGCACTTACCCTGTTTTATAATGAAACATGTTTCACCCCAAGTTAGACGTAAATGAGTCTGAAATTGTTTTGTATGGCGGAAATTGAATTTTCTTATGATATACTACAAATTGGGGTTTTTATTTATTAAACAATAGCCTTTCGAAGTTTATTAACTTAGTTAAATTGGGTTTTCAATTGTATTTCGTTACGTTGTGAAACGATCGAATGAGGCAAGCTTTTGTTCTTATACTTCTAGCGGAGTTCTTTATTGAATAAAGGGAAATGAAAGAATTTTTAAGAACGTTATGCTACCTAATTTAATTAATTTCAAATCAACTTTTTTCTTATAACTCGAAAAAGTCCTTCATTGCGAACACATTTCTTCTAATCAGGGGTAATGGTATCGTTTTCTCTTTACTCATTGTAATCGAATTATGCTTCACCTTTAATTATCACCATTCTCAATCTCTAGTTAGTAAACGGCCCAAACCAGTGTGACTATAGTGAATTAAGGTGGCGCTAATAGCACGTCAATATATTGGAGATAAAAAGACTTTCCAATTCAAACACATGTAATAACGTTGCCAAAGTTTTTCATTTGGCGAATCCATAAGTAAAACCCCAATTCAGTATCATTTAAAGTAATAGTGTTGCTAAATACGAAAAATCTTATAAGTGCTTTAAATATACCAGCATCAATCACAAATAAAGTAATTTTGCTTTCAAGCCACATATCACTGCAGATTATACCAACCTATAAAACAATTAAATTAAAAGCATACAAGCACTCGTTTTGCTAGTAGATATCGCGCAGAAAGAAGAATGGAATTTTCAAAATTGTTGTGATGACTTAAATTGCCGTAGTGTCTGGCTGAAATCCAAATCTGTTTTTATTTGAAGCGAATTGTACGAACATATATAATGGACGTCGCTCCTAATTTCAAAGTTTGCTTTTATTGCATAGGGCCGATACGCCGCAGTTAAATTAAATGAAATTTCTTATCATTCACCGCTTTCGTCCCCAAAGCCGCCGTCCACATTAAATACTTTATATGTCCAGTTTTAATTTAGATATTTAAGATAAGAGATAAATGTTAAAGTGAACAATATTCGCTCTGTGCTATATGAAATTTCTAATTCAACTGAAGATGTTATCAAGGATTAAAAACACGCCGGGTGCAAACGTTTTAACCTTTTCTATATAGATAGCTCGGAATCCTTTATTGCAAAAACGCTCTCGCGAAGTTACAAAACCGTTTTTAGTAGCAATATTTCTTATAGTTAAACCCTTCTATCCGAACATTATTTTTTCCTTTGCGAAGGAATTGGTAGAGGTGCTGGTGTAGCTTTGGGCGACATATTTACGATCATACATCGCCGACCGACGTCCATCGTGCTCTAATTTATTTCGGACACTTCGTTCAAAGTAGTGTAGCCATCGTTCCATCAACCTTATTTGGACATACATAACATCGGTCGAGAAAGTAATTTTTTATAAAATTGCTTCGATTGTAAGTTGAACTTAACGATACACTTTTGAAGCGTTTAACTGTAATTGGCGCTCTTTTTCAGAAGAACGCGAACGGTGAATACTAAAATTTGTTTGTTTATTTTATATGCTTTATGTGTCAGAGAAGTGTTTGTCTGTCCACATTTGAAATTCATAGACCAAAAATTAACATTAACACGATCCGAAAAGCATAGCGACGTTGTCTTTGAGCTTTTTATAGTCTGTAAGCGGTGTTTTGGGCTTGTTAGGGTAGTATTTCCAATTGATATGGTGTCCGGTCGTTTTTACCACACTCGATCGGCGATGTCGATGAAAGATTAGATACAGAAACAATGCCACGATTTATAAGCGCTACTTTATCGAATGCGTTGTTTGTTTTAATTGGATCATTTAAGCCGCATTCTACACACTGGTTATAAGAATGTGTTGTTTTCTATCTTTTAAGTTATTTCACATTACACACTGTGTAATTATCATGTACCTAACAATCGACTAATTTCTATTTTATTTCGTTTAATTGCATTAAGAACTGAATTTATTAAATTATTACTAGATAGTAAATAATATAATCTAATTTTTTACTCTGTCGACCATAGTGTGTTTTGGGTTTTATTTGAGTGATACCTTTCCTCTAAATGTAGGATGAAAACTGAAAGTAAACGATGAAATATCACGCATTACCTAATAACTAATGTTTACATAGTGTTTACATCATGGTTCTCGCACCATATTTTATGCTAGAATGCAAATTTCACTACGGGGTTTTATTTATTTACAAATTAACTAACAATAAATTTATATGTCTTCGAATATACCTAATATATTAATTTATAACAGTAATTACAATTTATCACTCACAATTTACAACATGATTAAAATGCATCGATGTTGGGACAGACTGGAATACGCTACTATTTGCTTATATAGTAAACGACAATTGTTCTAGAATGTTTTTAGAAGGATTCGGAATGCTCTACAATAAACACGTCATTTTTATCGGAAGGATTGCGTCAATTCTTATAAATGAAGATCCACATCATCCCGCTATTGACTTTAGTGTAAAACTAAACACCCCACGCGTAAGCAACTTTAAAGTGGAACACAAAACTAAAATATATAACTTTAAAAAAGCAAATTTTAACAATCTATATAACGATATTCTTAATATAAATTGGAATATTTTAACAACAATCTCTGATGTAGATACCGCTTGTCTGAAGTTTTATGAACTACTGAAATCAGTATTCGATCAGCATGTACCTGTATATAATCATAAAAAGAAGAAATTTCCTTCGTGGTTTACCGTAGATCTTATTAGAAATATCAAAATTAAACTCAAGTTACATAAACAATTTAAACAAACTGGTAATATTCGTTATTATGAAGAATTTAAACGTGTAAGGTCAACAATTAAAACTCAATTAGAAGTTTTGCATAGAGAGCATATGGCTTCAACCGAAGACGCTTTATCTTCAGACCCAAAATACTTTTGGACATATTTGCGTAATAAAAAGGATATGTCACGTATTCCCGGAAGGGTAACGTTAAATAATCAAACTTATGAGACCTCTCAAACGATAGTCGATGCTTTCGCAACGCATTTTTCTCTTGTTTACAAGAACTCAGTTCC